AAGTGCCTCTTCAAACCCAATATATTCGCTGGATAATTAGTCAACAGAAGAAAACGTCTCTCTTTACAAAGCTAATGTTGACAGGCACTGTATCTTTTATGCACTGGAACAAAAAGCATTTGCAGAACTGATGCAACACAAACATTTGGAATTGCTCTGTCAATGTGCAAGTGTTCCCGAGGCACATGGTTCTCTTTGTGATGCTGCCTCAGGCTCATGTTACCTTACAACCAGGTCCTCAACAGTGTGAATTCCTTTTACTGGAACACAGCACCATCCACATTTCAGGGCAGGTAAATGTACAAACACACAGAGGTTTGCTTTGCATCTGAGGAAGGAGTGAGAACAAACTAGGACAGGTACCAGCCTGACCCTCACCTCGTGCTGTGCTCACCTCTGCATCAAGCAGACAGGTCACTGCACCCTCAATTCACAACACTCACAGCTGATGTCCCAGTGTCTGTATTCTTATGGGCTTGTTCCCTGCTGCAGATTCTTGGGAACACAGAACTCCATGTGTACACAGAACACACTGCACAATGGGAGTCCTAGCATCTGTCTGCTGAAAGCAGCACAGCAGCCAGCTGATGCTGCTCCGTTTATTCTGACCTGGCAAGGCAGGAACAGCAGCAGTTTCCACATGGGAAATGGTTGTCCTGCTGCTGAGAGCTCTGACCTGCCTCTCCACAGACCTAAGCTCACCTGGAAACACAAATAGATGACTTGCAGCTGTTTGGACATGAGCTGCAGGATGAAATACACAGTTCTATCAGCTCCAGCTCACAGCCCAAGGTGTGCAAAGATAACATTCTGTCAATGCATATATTAATGGGGGTTTTTTTCTTTTAAATGACACCTGTCACCCAACACTATGGGGACAGATTCTCTTAGACATCTTTGGCAGAATGAAGAAGGCACTAAATTGTAGGTGCAATTAGTTTTCTTTTCTTACCAGGATGTTCTGATGAGCAGATTCTGTTCAATCCAGGCTGGATGAGGCCTTGAGCAACCTGATCTAGTGAGTAGGTGTCCCTGCCCAGGGCAGGGAGGGTTAGGACTAGATGATCTGTAAGGTCCATTCCAACCCTTAAATTCTATGATTCTATGAAAATTGCATCTCATAGTTTGCTCCAAAAAGGTCATGGTTCATGCTTATGGACAGGTATCAGCTACACCTCTGTAAAACTCAGAATTATTTTCACCTTTTTATGGACAGGTACCAACTACACCCCTGTAAAACTCAGAATTATTTTCACCTTCTTCTGTTCTCTGAGTATTTTGGGGTACCTTGGTATTACAAATAACTGTACCTTGTACTACAACATACATGTGGTGGCACTGCCAGCTCCACAGAGAACTCCAGCAGAGCCACAGACTCTGCAGCCTGTGCTGCATGGAGAGCTTTCCTCAGGAGCCACCAGCACTGCCATCGCCTGGCACAGCCACAGAGTTACAGCAACAGCTTTGAACTGGAGCATTTCGTGCACACTGCAGCTGCTGGGGCAGAGTATGTCATCAGGGAATGGTTTCTGTCCTGAATTTGTTCCATTCGTTATTGCATGCTGCAGCACACCATGAAGTCTCACCTGGCTGGTAAAGCTAAGCAACACAATGTTTGGCACAATGAATCTCCATCCAAAACTTACTTCAATTTACCCAAATGACACTTGGCCAATCTGCAGACTCAAAAAACCTAAAAGCATTTCATTTTGCCCTGGTTCATCTCTACAAACAGCAACAGCAGAGAAAGCCAATGAGAAACAAGTGGTTTCTGTCATTCCAAAGGACAGACAGGGTAAACCTTGTGATAGTGGTTTGACACAATTCCTCATCATGGGCAATTGCCCCAATAGCACTTCACAGTCAAACTGAACCACGCCTAAGCAATGGATCTGTTGAAATGTCCCACATGCACCAAACCCCATCTGCCACACCTTTCTGCAGAACAACTCAGCCTGACCTGTTTCCTGGCCTAGCAGCTAGGCTGGACTGCTCACCCACTCAGCTATTGCATTTCCTCTGTCAGATGGTAAGTGAAGACCCTGCCTGACTCCCTGCATTGTGCAAACATGCCTTGTTTCATTTGAGAAAGGCTTTAGCAGACAAACCTTGTTGATTGCTTAGTCTTCCAAAATACACTTCTTTGACTCAAAGTGCAAGACCACTGAGACATGAGAGTAGCAGGAGGAAGCTTATCTGAAAATGTAGCACATTCCCATTTTGAGGGGCTTAACTGAGTTGTTCTTTATGCCCAAGGTTATTTTCCTGCCATAAAGCACAAACATTGACAGCAAACTTTCAAGAAACTAAAGACAATGAGTTATTTTTTAATGTAGCATCTCCATGTTTAGCTTTGGGTACACACATTAGACTCTTCCCTCCTTCACTAGCTTTCTGGACAGGGAACTGCCTTGGAATAGCAAGTTAATACAACTGCAGAAAAGCACTAACACTTAGGAGTGTGTGAATAAGCTCTCACTTATGTTTGATGCTTGAAGAGATACAGCTGTGTGTACTTTGCAGCAGAACCTCACAATAATTCCAGGGAGGAGTAAATTGTCAATGTGTTCTCTTAACTTGGGTAATGGAAAACAAATCAGTTCAAAGCTTGACTCTCTCTCCTCCCAATTGAATGTATCTAATGTACACAGAAACCTAATGGAAAATATGCAATTCTAAAATTAGTCTGAACAAGTAGCAAGTGATGACTAAATAGTTCTGAAGCCTATCTGACAAAGAAATTGAGTGCAGCAGGAGAATAAGTACTCAACATATTAACACAGAAGCCCAGTACAAAACAAGACTTAACCAGTGGTGGCTTCAGTGTTCACTTAAGCAGATGCAATTCCATGGGAACCTGGAGAAATCAGTACTCAGTACCTG